TTAAAAAAAAAAAAAAGAAAACCTTTATTACAAAAAACCTATTCTCAGCCATTATTAGTATTGTATTTTCAATTTCCTCAGTAAAAAACTTATGGAAATTTCTCCTCTCTCATCACATAAGTGCCCGTATAACAGGGGCACCTGAGTGGCCCAGTCAGTTAAACGTCCAACTTCGGCTCAGGTCATGATCTCATGGTTGTGGAGTTCGAGCCCCACACTGGGCTCTCCACTCTCAGCACAGAGCCCTCTTCGGATCCTCTGTCTCCCTCTCTCTCTCTCTCTCTCTCTCTCCCTCTCTCTCTCAAAAATAAACATTAAAAAAAAAAAGTACCTGTATAATAATATCCTTCATTTTGCTTCTTGGCCCACAATGCCTAAATTATTTACAATCTGGCCCTTTACACAAATGTCTGGCAACTTTCGGCCTAGAAGAAGGAACAAAGGTGAAAAAAAGATTAAGTGACTTCCCCAAGACTATAGAGTTAGAAAATGACGAACCGGAGTTTCAGACCAAGGCAGGCTAGGTGCAGAAACCATGCTCTTAACCACTATACCACACAGTTTCCATGACCCAAGAACAAGATGTCATTTAAAAAAAAAGGAAACAATCAAAGAACAAGAAAAGATGCCTGAAATTAAAAACTGATTAAAAAATTCACTAGAGAGGGGCGCCTGGGTGCCTCAGTGGGTTAACTGTCCAACTCTTGATTTCAGCTCAGGTCATGACCTCACAGTTCGGTTAGTGAGATTAAGCCCCGCACTGGGTTCTGCACTGACAGCGTGGAGCTCGCTCAGGATACTCTCTCCCTCTCTCTCTGCTTCCCTCTCCCTCTCAAAAATAAATGAATAGGGGCGCCGGGGTGGCTCAGTCAGTTAAGCGTCCGACTTCGGCTCAGGTCATGATCTCATGGTCCGTGAGTTCGAGCCCCGCGTCGGGCTTTGTGCTGACAGCTCAGAGCCTGGAACCTGCTTCCGATTCTGTGTCTCCCTCTCTCTCTGACCCTCCCCTGTTCATGCTCTGTCTCTCTCTGTCTCAAACATAAATAAACATTAAAAATAAATAGGGGCGCCTGGGTGGCGCAGTCGGTTAAGCGTCCGACTTCAGCCAGGTCACGATCTCGCGGTCCGTGAGTTCGAGCCCCGCGTCAGGCTCTGGGCTGATGGCTCGGAGCCTGGAGCCTGTTTCCGATTCTGTGTCTCCCTCTCTCTCTGACCCTCCCCCGTTCATGCTCTGTCTCTCTCTGTCCCAAAAAAAATAAATAAACATTGAAAAAAAAAATTAAAAAAAAAATAAAAATAAATAATAATAAAATAAATGAATAAACCTGAAAAAAAAGTTTTTTTAATTCACTAAAGAGAAGATAAGGTCAAGGAAACTCCCATAATAAAGGACAGGAAGACAGATGGCAAACAGGAAATGGAAACTTAGAAGACACCACGAAGACAGAAGTAACAGGAGCGCCAAGAAGAAAGTAGGAACAAAACAGAGGGGTGTTAAGTGTAGACACTGCTGGGTTGGGTGTGAAGTGTCTGAGATTTTATCTTACCCGAACACTAACAAAGCCACGAAGCCTCTGGGACAGGGACCAAAACGATTCAGTGCTCATAGCAACAGCGGTCGCCAGAGTAACATCTTGCGTCAGTTTCCCGGGCCCCAATCCCCACAGGCCTTTCAAAGTATTTGGTAAAAATTAGTAATACGTCCATGAAAAAAGCAGCAAATGGGGGTGGGGAGCAGGGAAACCAGGTAAATTACTCAGCTCAGCAGCGAGCAATATCTCTTAGCAGTGTAAACGCTGAACGCTCAATGAGCCAAGAATTCTTACCTATGGAAGGGCTGGAAGACGGGGGAGGAGGAGGAAGAGCACCTCGTGTACCATAACAAGGAGTCAATAGGTAGCACCCACAGTTGATAAACCAAAAAATGGCCATTTAGTTATATTAGTCATAAATACAGTTCAAGTAGCTGTCTCTGGGAACCCGACTCCAAAGGACAGAGAAGGCAAGGCACTGCCCATTTTGTATAATGTACCTTCTTCTACTATTATTCTTATCTTTTCTAAAATAAAAGCACTACTTTAAATAGAAAAATTAACTTTTAAATAAAGTAGAGAAGGGGCACCAGGGTGGCTCAGTTGGTTAATCCCACTCTTGACTTCGGCTCAAGTCGTGATCTCACAGCTGGTGAGTTCAAGCCCTGCTTCTGGGTCACCGTTGACAGCGCGAAGCCTGCTTGGGATTCTCTCTCTCTGCCCCTCCCTCCCCAAATAAATAAATAAACTTTAAAAATAAATAAATAAAATTAGAGAGAACGTGCTTTACTACTCACCATCACAATCACTGATTCATATAAACAACTCAATGTGCAAGTACCAAAGAAGAGTGCCAGGGTGAAAACACAAACTAGCAGTACCCAAGCACCATCACATTACGCTTAGGCAAACACAGGGGGTCTGCCGATATTTCCCAAGTGCCCACTAGTGACCAGCACAATGCTAAGCACCAAGACTGAAATTGTGAAGAATGGAACTGACTTACAGTCGAGTAAGAGATATAGGTAAATCAACAGGAAATTATAATATGGCAACTCTTCAAGACTCAGTGAAAGCTTCCCAAAGGTCATACCATCAAAGCTAGGGCCTGAAGGATAAGAAGGACTGGCCTAGCTGGGTGTAGGGTTCAGAAAGTTGTCAAAGCAAAGGGAACACCACGCGTGAAGGCTTAGAGTGAAGACAAACACAGGCAAGGGCCCATTCCAGGAACTGAGAGAAGTTCAACACGGCTGGAGCAGGGCTAGAGCAGGGAGGGAATCAGAGTGGAAGCAAAAAAGGGCCAGAGAGCAGGCTGATGCCTGATGCTTTACAACAGGACGACTTACTAACAGGTTTCTACTTTGTCCACTGGAACCAGAAGATAGCACACATCCCTGGGTCTTCTAAGAGATCAGTGAACGCTTCCCCATACACTGATGATTTCAAAATACCTACATCCAGTCCAGAACTCTTTGTGGGTGCCAGACCATTTATCTAACTGCATGCCGTGCACCACCATCGGGACCCAGAAAACAAGCCACACCCCAGGGATGACAGAGTAAGAAACTGGGTAACTAATGACAGTGGAGTCGCCATGCCAGCCCTGAGCTGTCTACCTCTGGACTTTTACACGGGAAACAAACAAGATGTTTAAGCTATTATTCAATCAAGTCTGCTCTGCACAGCCAAACCGAATCTTAACTGATGCAGGAGGCTTCAAAAACATTCAAGGGGCGCCTGGGTGGCTCAGTCGGTTAAGCGTCCGACTTCGGCTCAGGTCATGATCTCGCGGTTCATGAGTTTGAGCCCCATGTCAGGCTCTGTGCTGACAGCTCTGAGCCTGGAGCTGCTTCGGGTTCTGTGTCTCCCTCTCTCTCTGCCCCTCCCACTCACGCTTTGTCTCTGTCTCTCAAAACTGAATAAATGTTAAAAAAAAAAAAAAAAAAAAACACATTTTTTTTAAAAGTATTCTAAAGGGAAGGGTTGCAAGAGATACTCTGAAGGGACTGTTACAATTTGGTGACTGACTCCATCTAAAAAAGAAATTATCAATCACATCACATACAGAATACGTATTGTTTAATTCTTCCAGTGTTATTGGAAAGTTAACAGCTACTTTTAGTGCCTGCATTGTTTTTACATTGAGATATAATTGACATGAAGCATTATGTCAGTTTCAGGTGTACCACAGGGTATTCTATGCGTGTATATATTGCAAAAATATCACCACAGTAAATCTAGTTGACATCCATCACCGTACATCGTTACAATTTTTTCTTGTGATGAGAACTTAAAAGATCTGCTGTTAGCAACTTTCAAATATACAATAGAGCCTTATTAACTGTAGTCGCCATGCTGCACATCACACCCCCATGACTTATAACTAGAAGTCTGTACCTTTTGACCACCTTTACCCATTTTGTCCACACACCCAGCCCCACTCCCACCCCATAACCCCAGCCTGGTGTCCGCATATGTAACGAATGGGATCAAACTTACAGAAGAAATCGGAGGGCCTGGGTGGTTCAGTCGGTGGAGCGGCCGACTCTCGATTCCAGCTCAGGCCATGATCTCACGGTTCATGGAATCGAGGTCAGCACTGGGCTCTGCGCTCACAGCACAGAGCCTGCTTAAGATTCTCCCTCTCTCTCAAAATAAAAAAAAAAAGACATCTTAAAAAATATTAGAGATCAGAAAGTACTAACCAAACTTCCAGAAAGGAATGAAAAGAAACAGAACATTTTAGTAAGTGAGACCTATTTATAAAGTTGTTCCCAACGCTGCTAGTTTAGATTATTTGGACCACAAAGAAGTATCAGGCAGATAACTTACACGCTGTTTACACGCAGGTTTTAAGCAGAAGTTCAGGGCATTAAGCGCCACTAAGGAGCTCCCAAGGGGAAACGAGGTAAAGAGCAGGAGCAGATACTGAACAGGCTCTTCCTGAGACGCGGTAACCGGAAACGCACCACCACCAGAACCAGCACCTTCACGCCCCGACACGGTCCCGACCTCGGGAGCTGAGGACGGAAGCAGGACACCAAACTAGAGGCCTTCCCGAAGCCCTCTCTACCTCCAACATTCACTCTTCTCCTGGTCCTGGCAAAGGCTCAAAGCCCTTTTCAACCAACCAGGTCACAGAAGGACAAGTCGGGAAGGGGCCTCGAGCCCAGGGCTGTCAGGAGTTCGCTCTTCCTGAATGTTTTTGCACTTTAAGAGCTTCCCGTCGAACTGGGGGTGCCTTGATCACCCACTGAGTCGGAGAGCCTTCTCCCTCACTGCCCCAGGCTGCCCTGTGACTTCAAGCAGCTGCTGGGTGTTACACACACTCTGATTACAAGTACACAAAACTTTAGAAACATGAATATGAAGAGACCGAAACGAAATACAAAAAAACTTCGCAGGTTGTTACATCGCTTTTATGCTTAGTCACTTTTTTTTTTTTTTTTTTTACATCCAAATTAGTTAGCATATGGTGAAACAATGATTTCAGGGGTAGATTCCTTAGTGCCCCTTACCCATTTAGCCCATCCCCCCGCCCACAACCCCTCCAGTAACCCTCAGTTTGTTCTCCATATTTATGAATCTCTTCTGTTTTGTCCCCCTCCCGGGTTTACATTATTTTTGTTTCCCTTCCCTTATGTTCATCTGTTTTGTCTCTTAAAGTCCTCATATGAGTGAAGTCATGATTCTTGTCTTTCTCTGACTAATTTCACTTAGCATAATACCCTCCAGTTGCCAATGGCAAGATTTCATTCTTTTTGATGGCCGAGTAATACTCCATTGTATATATATATACCACATCTTTATCCATTCATCCATCAATGAACACGTGGGCTCTTTCCCTCCTTTGGCTATTGTCGATAGTGCTGCTATAAACATATAAAATATGTCAATAGTGCATGAGTCCCTTCGAAACAGCACACCTGTATCCCGTGGATAAATGCCTAGTAGTGCAATTGCTGGGTCGTAGGGTAGTTCTATTTTTAGTTTTTTGAGGCACCTCCATACTGTTTTCCAGAGTGGCTGTACCAGCTTACATTCCCATACACTTAATCACTTTTAAGGGTCTCATTTTACCAAAGCCCACACTGCAAGTGCACAGGTACTTCCCGTATGTTTGTCATGGTCACTAAAAAGGAAGATGGAGTGGTCCTCTCTACCACTAACCATTCCCATTGCCTACACAGTGAAAGATGACACTTACATTGAATTTGTAGTAGCAAAAGAAGTCACCTCACCTATTTTCCGAAGTCTCAGCAAAATGTCCCCAAACACACCATGGCAGAAAGAATAACAGCCCCCAAAGATGTCCATGTCCTAATCTATGGAACCAATGATTGCTATCTTACCTGGCAAAGGGGACTTTGCAGCTATAATTAAGTCAAGGACCTTGAGATAGGGGAGATCCTCCTGAATTATCTAATTTTTTTTTTTTTTCAACGTTTATTTATTTTTGGGACAGAGAGAGACAGAGCATGAACGGGGGAGGGGCAGAGAGAGAGGGAGACACAGAATCGGAAACAGGCTCCAGGCTCTGAGCCATCAGCCCAGAGCCTGACGCGGGGCTCGAACTCACGGACCGCGAGATCGTGACCTGGGTGAAGTCGGACGCTTAACCGACTGCGCCACCCAGGCGCCCCCTGAATTATCTAGATAAGCCTGATCTAGTCACATGGGTCCTTAACCTTTCCCAACTGTCACTGGAGAGATACAATACTACTCACTTTGAAGATGGAATAAGAGGGCCACAAGCCAAGGAACAGGGGGTGGCCTCTAGAAGCTGGAAGAGGTAAGGAAACCTCTAGAAAACTCCAGAAGAGAATAGAGACTTGTTGACACACTAATTTTTTTAGCCCAGTGAGACCCATTTTGGACTTCTAAAATAGAGACCTTTAAAAATTTGTTTAAATGTTTCTTTATTTTTGAGAGAGAGAGAGAGAGAGAGAGAGAGCACGCACAGGGGAGAAGAAAAAGTGGGGGTGGGGGGACAGAGGATCCGAGGCTGGCTCCATGATAACAGCAGAGAGCCCAACACAGGGCCCGAACCCACGAACCGCAAGACCAAAGCCAAAGTTGGACACATCGCTGACTGAGCCACCCGGGTGCCCCTAAAATATAGAACTTTAAAAATAATTTGTGTTGTTTTTAGGACACTAAATTTGTGGTACTTTGTTACAGTAGGCATAGAAAACTAATACACACACAGTAAACAACTTCTGACAATATGTGAAATTATCTAGAAAAGCATAATCAAATTGCCCCATACTTAGAACAGACGTAAGTTATTTGTGAATATACATTTCGCTTTTTAAAAATCTGTGCATGTGTTACATTTCACTTCTATCTTTCTCCCGCTCTTACAAAACTCCATCGATTAAAATGCCAAAGTGACAATTCTTCAAACTTTTTACACAAGATGAACCATATTAACCAAGAAAAAGGAACAGGATACCAGGAACAACTGGAAAAAAATCAGGAAACAATTATACCATATTTTTTTAGAGAGTCAAACATCAAAGCGGTTGGAATGTGTAACTTCTTTGTATCAAATGGATACCACATTTTAAAAAATAAGTCCTTCTAAATATTGATATTAAGAGCTTACCATTGATTTTTTTGGATGTGATACTTGTATGTGGGTATATTAAAAAAAGAGTACCTCAACCTTCCACAGATATACACTCACATATTTACAAATGAAATGGTATGCCTATGATCTGCTTTAAAATAGGGGGCCAGGCACCTGTGTGGCTCAGTCAGTTGAGTGACCCACTCTGGATTTCGCCCTGGGTCATGACCCAGAATACTGGCATTGAGCCCCCAAGTCTGGCTCCGTGCTGTGTATGAAGCCTGCTTGGGATTCTCTCCCTCTCCCACTGTCCCTCTCCACAACTCACTCTCTTTCTTGCTAAAATTAAAAAAAAATAATAAAATAAAATAGTTTGGGGGCGCTTGGGTGGCTCAGTTGGTTAACCATCAGACTCCTGATTTCAGCTTAGATCACGATCACAAGGTTGTAAGACTGAGCCCCACTGTCAGGCTCCACACTGGGCAAGGAGTCTGATTAAGATTCTCTCTTTCCTTCTCTCTCTGCCTCTCTGCCCGCTGGTGTCTTTTTACTTCTTTGTCTCTCTCTTAAAAAATAAATTAAATTAAATTAAATTAAATTAAATTAAATTAAATTAAATTAAAATAGGAAGCCTGGGTATTCAGTCAACTGAGTGACAGACTTCGGCTCAGGTCATGATCTCACGGTTCGTGGGTTCAAGCCCCATGTTGGGCTTTGCACTGCCGACACAGAGCCCACTTCGGATTCTGTCTCCCTCTCTCTCTGCCCCTCCCCCGCCCTCAAATATAAATAAACACTAAAATAAAATAAAATTAAAATTAAATAAAATTAAATAAAATAGTTCAGAGTGGGGATGGGAATGGATAAAGGACACAGATGAAACTAAATCAGCCTGAGTTACTA